CCTCTTTCTTTCTCGATCCTTAATCATACACTTAACAAAGCATTATCGGGGCCATTTTCGTAACGTAACAACATTCTCGCGCGCGTCGAACGTAACTAGGCGCCAAATTAAAGCGATCTCCATCACGACGATAGGTCTCGATCCGGCTGATCTTCGAAGGGAGCGTTTAGGATGATTAACTTTCACCGTGGCGCGATGGCGACGGCGAGCGAGCGAGCGAGGCTTCCGGTGTGCGCGTGCTATTGTCAACGACGTTCTTACTAGGGCGACGCGATTCCGCGTGCGTGTCGCGCGGCCTTTGTCGCGACGACGCAACGACACCGTCAGCGACATCGTGCCGTCCTCGCCGATACTCGCCCGCGTAGGCGTCTAATGATGGGTTCCGGGGCCGTGTGCGTCGCGTGCACGTCGCGCCGTCAACCCCGTGGCAGGAAGGTGTCGTCGCATGAGAATAGAATGCGACGAGGGGGGAGAATCCGTCGCGACGTGGTCGCGAATTCCGACCCGCCTCTATGAGCCTCAAATATCACGATCGACGACCCTGAAGTGACACCAACACGGCGAACCGTTCATCCGGTTCTCTCAGGGAGGGACACGTGCGAATCGAGCGCGAGTGAAAACGGAGGATTTCGATCAATTGGCGACGTTTTCTTTCTTTCCTTCGTAAGAACGCGCGACGATGCACCCGTGATTACGCGGAATCGCAGGCAGAGCCATTGTTGTTGCAATTTGCCGAAGCGCACCGGCACTCGGAATTGTGGCGGGCCGCACGAAACGGCCGCGCGGACGGTCGGCTTATAACGCGCGACAAGACGGCGGCCGCGTGCCGAGTTGAAGGCCAAAATTCGCGCAGGCAGGTTGCAACACGCCGCGGCGAGGAGAATCGCTCGGCGATGAGAGAACCGTACGGAGGTTTAAATGGGAGGAAAGCCACGGCGAAGAATCGGCCTTTTTGTCCGGCAACGAGAGGTCGCAAAAAAGTCATCAAACCGTGAAGCCGGGGAAGGGTCTCTTCGAGAGCGCGGCTCACGTTTCTCGACTTCTTCCTTTTTTTCTCGTTCCTCTTAATCCCGTCGTAACGCCCTGACCAGGTAACTGTGTCAGGACCGCTGTGCTCGAGATCACCGACGGTTGCGCAACAAGAGCGGAGCGAGGAGATCCACGAGGATCCGATGATCTAAGGTCTCGGGGCGTATACACCGGCCTCCTCGATTTACTCGTCGCGCTTAGTTTCTCGGGCAACCTAAAGCTAAGAAGCTAACCAGAGATTGACCCAGAAAGCCGCGGATAATGTTCCCGCCGAATACGGCGACGCGAAGATGAGCAATTCGCGGGCGTCGCGATCGACGAGTCGAGGAGGTCGACGGAGGTGAGATTAAATCCGAAGAGCTAACGTCTATCTACAATATTGGAAAATAGACCTATAAGAGCCAGAGTAACCACAAGGTATATAATAAAAATGTCATGTATTTAATAAGATCCGTTCACAGAACGTTACGAGTCGAGATAGAAGACGGTTATGGACTTTTGATAAACAGCTCGAAATCCGAAAGGAATATTTCTTTGTAAAAAAATATATCCTTTAAAAAAATACTTTTTATTGCACACCTACGACTTGTGTTTGGCTCTTATAGATCTGTTTTCAATATTGCGGATTGAATACACTAAAATTTCCAACTTCTTCTCTATTAAATAGTTTATTATAATATAGTGTTATTTTTTTTATCCAATGAAATAATATCGAAATTATTTATATCTATACACTTAAGGAGCATGATTTCCCTATAGTGAAATAAAAATAAAATTTTACTTATTTATTTACTATTGTATAAACAGGAAATACCTTTTAATAACATAAAAAGTAAAAGGACAGTTAAATAGGTTAAAAACAAATGGAACATCAACCCAAATCAATGCGAAACTTTAAATTTAACTTTTTTCGCAACAAGATGTCGGACATACCAAAAGAGTCGACAGAATTAGCGAAATCATTTGCGAGCATAAAAATTCGATTTGATTGGTTTTAATCTACCATAAAGTGAGGATGACAAAATCTTTTGAAAGAAGGTCAGACTTAAGAAGGTAAAATAGAAATAGAATGTAGTAAAATAGAAATGGAATAGAGATACGAAATCTTGTCGGCGATACCACCAAAGGCCTTTTCAGACTTACGAATGATCGGAGAGAGAGAGAGAGAGAGAGAGAGAGAGTCGAATACGAAATGGTGACAACGAGTCCGGTCCTAGGACAACTGGGATCGTCATCGTGGAGAGTCGAGGAACCGGAGCGGAGTACCTTGTAGTGGGACGATAATATAGTTGCGGAGGTGGATGTAGTCGGTAGGTGAGGAGCGAAACAAGAGCACCACGACGATGAACATCGGTGGGGCACGGTTTCGATCTTTGATGGCGAGGTCCGACACGGGGCAGGAGAGACGTGGAAACACCGACACACTCTTGATGCAATTGCGACAACACCGAAATCGAAACGAAGCGGACTGAGCAGGAAGTCGATGGATAATGTGACAGCGGAATAACGAAGTAAGCCGTGTAACCAAATCGAAAGTATATAACTTGAAAGCTAACGATACAAGGAGGGGGGTCTCTCAAGCCTATCGGATGTCCATTCATCCACAGAGGCTTCGACGAGTTCGGATTTTACCTTAGCGAAATCTCGTGACTGCGGATTGTATTTTGGATTCGATTTTTCCGTATAGTTGAAATCAAATTCAGATGATCAAGTCGCATGATACAAGTTATCACCGATGTCACGATAATAGGTCTTCTATATGATGTAAAATTCATGTTATTCGGCTGGGAACGGAATTATAACTAATATCAAGTGAAATCACACGACATGTGACGAAACGATTACTGAAAGTGCAATTATCCAAAGATACGGGGGTTATTAAGCTGGGTTGTCTTCTTAAGTCTGACCTTCTTTCGAGCCGTTCAGATCCCTATCAGGGAACGCACGGCATAAGGACGAAAGAGAGGAAGAAGACGATGAAGAAGAAGAAAAAGAAGGAGAGAGAACCGAGGAAGGAACGAATGTACTCGCGGGCGAGGGAGCGGTAGGGTGTCGATACAGTTGCAAAGGTGAATTAGTTGGCTGGGAGGTTACACCGCGAGTAACGATAGAGAAGAGATAGTGACTGTTCGATACTCCTCATTCTATCCCACCCTGGCTCTCTTTCTCTCGCTCTTTTCCTCTCGCTTCCGCGAGAGCACGTCGACTGGCTGGGAGGATTCCGGTGTGTCGGTGACCATCGGGTGGGAGTGGTGCACCAACACCATCCACCTCTCCAGGATCCCGACCCGGCTCATGGGGAGTGGGAAGGACAGTCAGAAGAGTGCTCCGAAGGAACCTAGCGGAGGAAACGTTGGCTAGAGGGAGACGTCCTTCGGTGGCGGAGTAGGAAAAGGAACACGAAGAAGTGGATGCAGGCGGTAGAAGGAGAGAGAGGGAGGGGTGGCAGGCGGGAGGGGGGGAAGGCAGGTCGCGTGCCGGCGTGGTGCTGCTCCGAAGCTGAAAAGAGAGGAGAGCACTTACCTTCCCGACGTCTCTCACGGTTAACACGCAGGGGAGCTCCTTCGCTATCCTCTGCGCGTGCACTCTCACAGACTCGCGCAAACGGACTCGTACACATATATACGTACATGCATGCATACATACACGCACGCATACACAGAGGCATCGCAGCCGTGCGGGCACATACACGCCTGTCCTTTGGCCACACCGTGCGATCCGACACACTCACACCTGCGACGTATCCCGCTCGTCCGTGTGCGGACGTCTCTCCTCGGTGTGTTGTTCCCCCTGTGGCTCACCTACCTACCTACCTACCTACCTACCTACCTACTTACTAACCTACCCGCCAGCCTACGAATTCAGTCTCCCCGCCCAATCGACGGTACCCACGACGGTGTATGCCTGCGTATCTGTTGACTGTTGTACACACGCGTCTCACCACGGGAGTGTGTACGTGTGTGGGTGTGCGCGTGACTGTGTGTCAGTGTGTCCGTGTACGGCATTCATACGCGGCATCGGCCGCTTTACACACCGTCACACGGCTTACTCACCACCGTACGGACCACACTCCGCTCTCGTCGCGTCTCACGAATCTCGTCGGCGCTCTCGGTTCTCGCTGATANGGGGGGGGGGATATCACACGCCTCGAGAGAGGACCTGGACAACGGAGCACGGGCACCAAACGATCGCCGGACGGTGGTGAGCAACGTGGTTGGCTCCTTCCGTCGCTCCTGAGAGAGAAACCGACAGTCAGGACTCGGCTGTCCTGTCGACCACCACACGCGCTCAACACGCGACCCGACTCGGTTGATCCAGCCTGCAGCGGGATCGATAGCGCGATCCCTCGGGAACCGGCCGCCCGGATCGTCGCGCAGGGACGAGATCGGTCGTCGTTCGACGCCGACCGGGACAGAGCGAACTCTAGTCAGGAAGAGCAGGAGAAGAGGGTGATCCTCTCGGAGTCAAGGAGCTGTCCGGTGCGGTGTGTGTACTCGACTCGTTTTACTCTCGGAGAAGGGACACGCGTTGTGTGTATCACGGACCGGGAGAGCGGGAGCGAACGGAACCGTTATCCAAGCACGTGGTCGGTACCACGAGGTATCGGAACGAGAAGTTTCCCGGTGAATCGGTAAGCCGCCGAGGGGAGACCCGACGCAGATGAGCGGGATGTTTGTGCGGACGTTCCGATATCTCGCAACCTCGTAAGGGCCGATATCTGGGCGCAAATGCGAAAGCCCGATAGCGAAGAAGGAGGAGGAGAGTGATCTCGAGTGTGAGGATAGTGTGTTGTTTGAAAACGAGTGCTCTTCTTTGCTCAGCGCGCTTTCTGCCACCCTTCTTCTCTCTTCTCTTCTCCGACACATCGTCTGACTATTTTTTCTCTCTCTCTCTCTCTTCCACCACCCCCTTATCTCTTTCTTCTCCCTCACATCTCTCTTTCTCCACCTTGGATCCTCTTGTGAGCACAACGAAGGTGGAAAAGTGTCACGAACCAGCGGAAGTGACGGAACAACCGATCCCCCTCGGCTTCAAGGTCGTGGAATGACGAATAAGGTAAGACGATTCACAGTCCTCTCTTCCCGTTCGTCGTCGCGGCACCGGGACATCATGTATTATTGCATCGCGGCATCCCGAGAACGGTGCTCCTGAATATTTATGAGGGTGATCGCGATCGCGTTCAGGATTCGCCGGCGAGCCCGAGGAGGAACGACGAGAGTTGCCTTCTGACGTTAGGGATTTTTTATAATAGCATGTTCTGACCACGGAAAATGTCGCAACGTCACAGCATTATTCGAAACGGGAGCGTGAGAGAATATAAAACTAGGGGGAAATTGAAAAAAAAGCGGGAATATAATTTGGAAATTCCTCGAAAGGTATCTTGTATTCGTTTCTTCAACTTCTCTCTTTTGGGTCTGATCGTATTATGATAAAAATTCGCACTATAATTCACGGCCATTTCCCGTCGAATGCGAGATTTCATCGTTTGCCGTACTTCAATCATGCACGGGAAAAAGGTCTGGTTGAATTTATCTGACAATGAACAAGAATGGAATTTTTGATTATAAGAACCGAACTTGGTTCATCGGAAGCAGAAGTCCCGTTCTATTTTCTTCAAGCAAAATGCATTTGGTTTGTTTGTCGTCGGGTAAATTCAAGCAAAACTTTTTTTCCGTGCGCTGTCGCGAAAACTCCTCGTCAAGTCTCCCGTCGAATTTCTTCGTCGGCGACGAGGCGCCGACGAAATCTCGATTCGCACTGTTGGCGCCGGCGTCTCGCGCTCCCGGTAATTACGGAGCTCCTATGAAATGCAGAGGAGGTGTCGCGAGCCCAGCAATCTGTGCTGCACGGGATCGTCCAATGAGAATAATAATAGCCGCGAATGCGGCGCTTTTCATTTGAATAAAAACAATCGAGCACGCACAGTCGAGTGACTACGGAAGTTGTTTCGCGATCGATGGCTCGCCGACGTCTGTCCGATAAGTATATGCGCGCTTCGTGAAACGGAAAATGATAATAACGGGAACATAACTAGAACCAGTTAATGAGACAAGAATTTGCGTGCTGCGTTTCTTACGATCTCGTTATTTGCAGTAAAAAAAGAAACTGTGCACTCTTGATAATACAATCAGCGAGAAGCAATCGACAGTCACTAGTGATTGTAGTTATAAGCACTGCGAATCAGTCAAATCTCACCGCAAAAGCCTATTAATAGCAACAGCTGTTTCCACCGGAGAAACCCAACTGCAGAAACAGTAAAAAGAAGTTGTTGTTTATTATTTCTTTTTTTATTATCTCAATCCCACTCTTATGGTATTGTCAATGATTTTGCCTGAAATATTCTTAATTACGTTTAATCGATTTCATTTATATATTGTATTTGAAAAATACGTTTATCCTAACGGGACTTGAAACTTCGAGCTCGCTTCTGCTATCACACAACTACGCCAAACACGATATATAGTTGAATACATACACGATATATACATATATTTCTGCTATGGAACGCGTAACAGCGATTTGCGGTGAATCTTTCACTGGCCAAAGTCAGTGAGATATTAAACAAAAGAGCTTGATGGAAAGGTTTCCACTAAAAATGACTGAATACTCGTGTTATGGGACTTTAATATATATCACACTCATACAATGTTCTAATTAACAGTAGAATATTCTTTCACTGGTTCAATTAGTGACATCTTCGCTGATTCAACTTAAGAGAGTAGATTCCCCGAACTCCCACGAGGACGATTAACGGATTTGGACGGCAAAACTTTCAACATCGTAGATCCCGTCTTCTCACAGTCGCGAGACGACGACGCGATGCCGGAAAAAACTTACGTAACACAATTAATAAACGGCCGCGCAGAGCACCGCGCATCGCCTCGATATAAATTCACGTCTCTATGGGTATCGCGCGCGAAAACGCATCGGCCGTCTAATTCGTTCGAAACCAGTTCCGAAGCTGCGCTTGCGATCCCGCGCAAAAGTGAGCCGCCCACGCTCGTCCTTATATCACCGAACGGTTCGTTCTGCCGCTCAGGAAAGCAGACGTTGCAAAAGCTATGTTCCTCCGCCATTCCTGTCGTTTCCTCGTTCATAAATTTACGCGCCTCCAGGCGCGCGCGACTGCGCCCATTCGAGGGATAGAGAACACGTGAGATTGCCCGGCGCACGAGACAAGCGAGAGACCCCGATAAATGCGTCCGTGCCGAAATAGTTAACATAACGCGAGTCGTATCGCATAATGTAAATGCGAAAAGTGACAGGCGCCGAGTCGCTCGGAGATTTACCTCGATAAAAAAGAAACGTAATCGCGCGAACGTGTCCGAGGTATTCGCGAAATGGCAGGAAGATAACGCAGCTACGTGGAAGAGCGCCAAGTATCTCTGCGAATGCAATAAATAGGAAATACGAGGTGCAGTCGACCGGCCGAAACTGAAAATCAAATTGCGCGAATTTCACCCGGTCGGGCGGTGAGCGGCGAATTACCAGTCTGCGGCGGATCCTCGACGTCGTGTGCTCTCTAAAGTGGAGTCAGTGTATTATCACTGAGAAAAAGTCAACAGTCGTTGGCGATCGTAGTTATATAAGTGTGGCACTACAAATCGGTAAAATTTCTGTCTGCGAAAGTCTGCTCGCACATGTAGGAGCGACTGCTTCCATCACGGAAGTCCAACTGCAGAAACAGCGTGAGAAAAACTCTTCAGGAAAAGAATCAGCATATTGAAATAGTAACTAGTTACCGATCAACTTTTACCAACGACTGATCAGTTTGTATCAGCAACTGATTATACTGTTTCGATATACCGACTTCTTTCTCTTAAGGGAAGATATCGTTCATTACTTCTTTTTTATTATCTTAGTCGCATTTTTTACGTGTCGATAGTTTTACTTTTACTAAGTATTCCTAATTATGTTTAATTCATTGAATTTATACCGTACTAGAAAAACGCGCCTTTATCCTGGTGAGACTCGAATTCGAAACCTCTGGCTCTTGAGTCTGCTACCACACGAACTACGTAAATACGACATATGGTCGAATGCATGCTCTCTAAAGTGCAATTAGTGTGTTATCACTGAGCTTCACGGTACGCGTAACAGCGATTTCTAGTGAATCTTTCGCTAACCAAAATCAGTCAAGTACAAGACAATAGAGTTAAGTGGAAGCATCTCCACCGAAAATTAATGAATATTCTCTAATTATCGGTGCAGTACTGTTTCGCCGATTCGATCAGTGACATTTACGCTGATTCGGCTTGAGAGAGTGCGAATTAAGCGCGAATTATCGCCGATGTATTATTCATCACGCGTTCGCGCGCGGTTTGTCCGATAGCAGGCGCGACGGACGCGCTACCGTGAGTACCGAGAGCACGGGGACGGTAACAGTTAATTGATAACAGGTAAGTCGGGCGCTGGAGACGCCACGATTTTTGTTGCTGACCCAGCCACGCCGATCTCGATATAGACCAAGCAGGCAGGCAAGCAAGCAACCGACCGACCGACCGACCGACAACACCGTTAACAGTTATGTGAAACCAACGCGGCCGCGAGCAGACCGCTCTTGTCTCGTGGCCCATTATTTTCTTCTCTCTCTCTCCGGACTGTTGCTCTTACTGCTGTCCGATCCATCTCTGCCTCGCTATCGGCAATTTGTTAGGATCGGCTCCGCGTACGTGCGCCGACGCACCCATGACTGCGATAAATCGCAAATTACGTCGGGCGCGAATATTGCTCATCGCGCGAAAGTAATTGTAAACAATGCGCGCGCTCCGGGCCCTGCTCGCCTTAGGAACAAACGATAACTCGTATGGCCGCGCAAGCAGAAAATTTGAAGAGGCAAAGCTGCGCGAGTAACGAGTTCCGTTCGAAGCGTCGTATCGCCTCTGCCGCTCATTGGAAAATTGATTAACGGCTGCGTGCGCGAGGTCGACAGATTGAACTCGAACCTAGAGCCAGGGAACGCAACAATCTGACTCTGGAGAGACGGGGCCCGGCACGTCGTTGAGAAATTCCGCGGTTTAATAATCCGCTTTACGTAATTTTGTATGTTAACTCTCGTAAAACCGGGGAATATAAAAAGAACGACCACGGCGAATCTCCGATATGCGTCTCGATGAATAACCGTGGATAATTGCATTCTTACGTTTCTCTCCCGTCGGTTCTCCTCTTGCAAAAGCGAATGGTACGTGACAGTGTCAAGCAATGTTACGCGAACGACATCGGGATCCTACCTCTTGTGTTTTTTTTTTCCGTTGCTCAACAATCCGGCGGCGAACGTGTACAAGCGGCAGGCCGGTATTTGAATACGCCCGCTATTACGAGAATGGGGAGCACGACAATCATGAGAGATTCCCAGACGTTCGAACAATGTCCTCACCTCGGTTCTGGACTGGCGCAAACGGCAATAAAACGGGCCCCGAACGACATCACCGCCACCGAGTGCCAGCTATTAAGCGCTTCTGACGCGATGATCTTAACCGGTGTTCTATATAATTTACAATAAAAGCGTTACATCTATATTACATTTCTATACTATGATGTTTCCTAATTCATTTGTAATTTATCTGTAATCTAAGTCAGTGCGCCTCTTCTTACGAACGTCCGAAAAAAAATCTTACGAGCCGCTCTCTTGAAGCTTTGAATTTTCTTTCATTTTCCACCTTTCACTCAATTCCCCTAATTCTAACACATTCTTTTCAATTATATCCGAAAATGTATATTTAAAAAATCCTCTCTCAAAACATACAAGATTTCAAAGAACGATAGGTAAAATGCGACGATTTTGATCCCCAGATTGGCAAGTAAAAACGGTATGTTCTTTTGCAATTTTTGAGTTGCTGAATCTGATTCTGACTTTTAATAAATTTTAATTTGTCAAAAAAGAGAATATTTTAAAATCGGTATATGAAGCTGGTAACAGCTCGGACCATAAATTTGTGATTTTTGAGCTTTACGAATGTATTCATTTGTATTTTTCTTCTAATAAAACATGATGCGAACCTTATTTACCTGCTAGTAACACATGAGAATCTTAATAAGAGAGCTTCAAAATGTCT